GATTCAAACCCCAAGTTAGGCTAAGAGTGTGTAATATCTCTTAAACACCAACTTGGTTTATCCATCCCTGATTTTCTTCCATTTCATATCCCCCCATTTCTCCTCTTAATCTCACTCTTTTCTTCCAATTAAAATACCCAAAAGAACTCCCTCATCAACTCCATATATTTCCAGTCCATTCCCCCACAAAAACACCCTTCTTCCTGCCCAGAATTCTGCCAAATAATCGATTATCATTCCCCACAATCGATTATCAATCCCATTGGAAACACCAGCAGGGATCAATAATCGATTATCCCTTTAAGATAATCGACTATCATCTTCCCCAGAAATTCTGCAGCTTTCAGTAATCGATTGTCACTTTGTGTAAATCGATTATCACGTCCCCCAGGATTCCTGCAGTCTCTAACAATCGATTGTCTCCTTCTGTCAGTCGACTATCAGCCCCTCTTGAAGTTTCACGGCTGTTCTGGTTTGCTACCAATTCCTCCGTAATCCCGCCCTCAAATTATCTAAATGATAAGACCCCGGGTTCGGGTATAACAAGTATAATCCCACAAAAGCATGGTCCGGGGGAGTGTACGCAGACCTTGCCCAACTAAAAGTAGAGAGGCTGTTCCCAAGAGATCCCTAGCTCAATTAGACTAAATCATAAACCAGCAAATTAAATTTCAACTAGACAGTCATTAGTGAAGTGATGTGAGAGTTAAATACACAAACAGAAAGAACAAACAAGGCCCAGAGAATGAGGAAGTAGGAAAGAAATACAAAGTAGCTGCACAACTATTCCGCGCTTGAAGAATCAGTAAATTGCCAAAAAAGTTGTGGTTAGAGAGAAGCTTACATAGAAAATATTCTCGTACTCCTCCAGAAGTGTTGTAATGATTGCTTGGGCATTATTAGCTGCATTAGCAGCAGCGAGAAGCTGTGAAGAATTGCCACTGTTAGTATCAAAATCATCCTCCAGCTCACATTCACCAGCTAAGAGAGGTCGCAAAAGCAATGGTGCCATACAAGCAGCTACAGCAGATGGATTCATTCTATTTTCAGAAGCATATGAAGATATGGTGTGCATCATCTTCACAATTCTACAAAAGGAGAATCATTAGGTTAACCTTGTTAAAGAATAAAGTACACCACAGATATAAGAAAAAATAAATTTGAAGTTTTTATCTAAAAGAAAATTAAGAATTTCTGGTGTTATCTTCTAAGAGTTCCAAATGCTCTAATCAGAAGTGAAGACCAAAAAGAAACTGAAAAAAAATCTGTCATGCCTTCCCTTTTTAACCGCATTCGTGGTCTGACATTGTACCTTGGTTATCAGATTTGAGTAAGTGATTTTTTTAAGGTTCCATCCATTTACCACTGACAGGTTGGATTTTCTACTATCCTTACACTATACCAAACAAGATAGATTACTATTCAAAAGTACATTGCCATCATCTACTCACCAAATTAGGCATAACAGCATCGCAGAGCCATAAAAGACATTTAATCATTACAGTTGTAACAAAAGTTTATATTACCTAGGCAAGAGTGCTCTGATTTACTTAGCATCATTTCAAAAGCAACCAAAAGTCTCTCCCTAAAGATAAAAAAGTACTTGTAACAGCTATATTTGAAATACATATTGTACCCACAGAGACAATACCTCTGTAATAACCGGCGGTTGGGTTCGGGAAACGTCTCAGCTATAGCAGAGCGCATAGCATTGACCCGAGCTTCCTTCCTATCAATTTCTTTTGAACATCCAAGGAAACACACTCTGGTTAGAAAAGATCAAATTGTGCATAAAAAACATTTTCCTACAATTGTGCATTTCATAAAAATGACTAATTAAATCCAGGATTCTGAGTTCTAGAAAACAAAAACTCAACATCTGGATATTCTATTGGAGAACTGATAATATTTGAACACTAGTACATTCCATCATGACATCTCAACTAATGTTGGTGGTCCTCTGGCAAACTCTCACATAGGTTAAATTATACTCCAATTGGAAGCTACAGTATCCACAACACTATCATCCTCTACATGAAAATTGCAATCCTCATACGAGTACAATGCAAAGAGGAAGCCATCCTGGCCTTCTAGGCCTAGCTGAAAATGTTTATTGCTGCTACTACATAATTCAAAACCCTACAAGATGTTTTTATTACGATCTTATATGAATAACTTGTAGATGATCTGGAAAATGAGAGGAAGATGGAAAACGTGAAAATCATCATTCAGAGCATTCATATGATACTACAATTATTCTAAATTGTAAATTCTCAACTCACTGTATGCCTCCAATAAGGCAGTGCAGCAAGATGCAGGCACTGGAGATGATGGCAGCTCACGTAGTACATGCTGAACAACGGGGTAACACCAATGAGTGCTAATTGAAACTTCAAAGTATGCGGATCATAAAAAATGTCCTAATTAGATCTAAGGTGGCGATGAATACCTTCACGCAGTCACCTATTACATGTGCATCCTCATCTGGACCAAATTCAGTCTTACCTAAAAAGAAAGGCACACTTATATCACATGATTAGATCAACATCTAAAGTAAATCAAACTTCAGAAGTTTAAAGTTTGGACCTTGCTCATATGATTTTACCCTCTCTTCTACTTCCTCTACATCAGCAGATTGTCGCAATATCCCTTCAACTTTTGTTCCTATAAAAAAGGTCAAACACAAAATTAAGAGAAGTACACATTCAACTTTCAATGGGCTTTTCAACCCGATTGTCCTATTTGATATTTACTTTAGTAAAATTTAAAAAATGCATCTCTGTTCTAACAACAAGTGTAGGGGAAGACAAATTAAATTATACAAGGAATGTGATGCCACCTTCACCTAATACAAACAGAAAAGAATATTATAAAATCTCTCAGACATCATGGTAACCCATTAAAGGAGCACCTTTTTTTGGAAGAAAAATCCTTAAATATATATGTGCACTTTCATATTCATTGTGTCATGTGTACTTTCATGTCTTGATTTGAAAAAAAATTAGAATATGGAATTCTTCTGCTAAAGAAGAAAATCGAGCCCAAGAGGATGATATGCAATGGGAATCATAATAAAATCGTTTCGAGTAAAATGACAATTACTTTGAATACTATTTTTTTCCTTTTTGTCCAGCGCCAATGCAGCTAAAGAGATGATTTTGACATTGTTTTAGGCTTTTAGCTTCTGATAAATAATGGACTAAACAAAATGGCACATTAAACCTTACTTGCTTCTTTTACAAGTTTTGGGCAGGATATGCAGCAAGGGCCTAATGGAAACAACTTTCTATTTTTAAAGGGGTAAGGTTGCATACATCTTGATCCACAAGACCCCAATGGCTTTGGGATTGTTGTTGTTTACTTATTTTTCCTTTTATTTTTTTTATTGGGAAGTAAATTGTGAGCTTACCGTGCTTTTCAAGAAATTTAAGTGCCTTTTCAAGAAAGGATGGACCACCATCTATATCTTCTAACGCAAGCAAAAGTGGCCGCCCAACTACCAAAGACTTGACAGGACGCTTATCCCTCCCTGCATCAAGAAAGAACTCAAGAGGCCATTGTTAGAGGAACACATATTTTCATATAATTAGAAACGACGTGGAAAATATAAAGGTTCAACACATAATGGCAAGAGTGTACGTACAGTGATGGAAAGACCCTTCGACTGAATCACCGTTGTCATTTTGAAAAATGCCATTATGTCCCGTCACAAGCGCAGCATTTGGCGATTGTGCAAGAGCAAGCTCAAGAGCAGTCTTCCACTCATACAAATCCTCTGATGTTTCAGCCTATATGAATTCACTGAGTTTGATATTCTAAAATAGCATGTATGCTAGTGTAGTGTGTGTTTGTTTAACTATTTTGTTAATTAAATGAGTACCTTAAGAGTAAATGCCCGACCATCACGTCCATCGGGGAAGAGTACAGTTATCAGTTTTTTATCTTCTCTAACAACCACACTGTAACCAAAGTACTAGAGTAAGGACAGATAAGAAAATCACAATATAAATGATGTGCCACTACACTAAAAATTACCTTCCAGAATTATTCAAGTCTATGCCTCCTAAAGTAAGATTAACTTCGCCATCCCGTTGTGGAAGAGTACTCTACACAATCATTTACATTTTGTAAGATTGAAGCAGCATATTGGCATAAGAGCATGGGCAAAAACTCATATAAGACAAAGTTAATCCAGTATTCATTCTATATTCGGAGTATACAGTCAGAACCCAAATAAATGACCATCTAAATGTAAACCAAAAATTAGCTCACTTAGCTGTAAAAATTTATAAGCTATAGGATGTTAATCAATTTAGAACCAAGTCCTAATACCAAATCATTAGGTTCCGCTTGTCAAATTTCTGCATTATCATATTTTAGTGTACAAACACAAATTGTCTAAGAGGATATTTCAAAGTCAAGAATGATTTCTTAGAACTAGAAGGTGCAACCAAATTGACATGTTTACGGGTTTAATACACTTCTAAGTTAACACAAAAAGAAGAAAACTAACCGGATCATTTTTGAAGAAAACCAAAGATGTGCGTGTGAGAATGAACCAGCGCTTTTTCCAAGACTTCCAGCCTAGTCCTGCAAACATGCCATGTTAGTTTGAGGGATGTTCAGAGTGACGAGGAAAGAGTTGCAGTGATATGAATAAAGAATGTCAGTTCAATGATCATGCATAACACACAAAATGAGGAATCCTCAAACAATAGAGTGGCTCAAAAGATTTTCCACCAACATATATTGAAACTTGTCTGAAAAAAATGATGCTATTTGAGTCTTTTGATTCAGTATTTTTATGTGAGCATGAATTAATATGTAAATAGCTTCAAAATTGATTGGCATTTCTATGATATTTCATTTTTAGAGGTACTGATACAGATATGGAAAGTCTTCCTCTATAGGTGGATCCAAATTCTCAATATTTTTATTATTCTTGTTTTATTTTAAATCAATTTAATGATATTGATATTGAAAACATCTTTTGATGTGTTAAGTGAATACCAATTGATAATTTTAACAATTAAGCTGAAATTTATTAATTGAAGAATAAGAGGTAATGCCTTACTTATAGGCTCAAGTGAGGTGATATTCCTAAACCAACTAGGATTAGTAATACTAAACTAAATAGGACTAGGAAAAACAATTATAAATGGACTAGGACTGACTACTAAGTAATACTAAACTAACTAGAACAAATAATCATAAACTAAATAGAATTTTCCTTAAGTCGAGCAGATGCTTTGGCCTTCGGTAAACCAATAGCCCATCATGATGCAACAAAGAAACCAAATCTTAATCGCAAACTGCTGTGGTTGGCTACGTGAACCATTATAATGTTTCCAGAGGTCATACTTCCACAGGTTGCAATAGAAAAGGCTGGGAGAACAGAAAGGCTGAGGAGCAGGTTCAGTGAATGGCAGAATTCAGGCAAACGACTAGGGTAGGAGCAGGCATTAGTCTACCAGGTATTTGAATTTATTACTAATATTTTAATACATGGAGAATGATTTAGTTTTGGCTGACAAATTCAGATTAAAATATTATTGTCCAGAACATAATGGATACCAATCTTGCATTAAATGGTGTTGAATATCAACTATCCCACTCTTGCGCACTCAACTGACTCAAGCAGCTGACAAAAATTCATGAGCCAGAGTTTGATCATTTTTAAACACTAAACATAATGCAAGTCTTACAAAAAGTGTTCTCTTGTTCTCGAAATAGGTATTTTCAGAAAACTTACAGTCTGTCCAAAGGTGCAGTGAACAAACATTAACAGTGTTGCGAGAAGCATGTAAGCATGCCATGACAAATCTTTGGCATGAAGGGGCAGGTCAGGCGGATGCCAGAACAAAAATATGACCAAAACTTTCAAGTTTTACTAACCTTTTGATGAGATGAATAGCGGCCCACTTTTGAAAACCTGCAAGTTGGGGTATTGAATTGAAAACAGTGAGTACAGACATTAGAGCAACAAGAAAAGCACCAGAAACCAGGAAAAACATTTTTTGTGCAGTTGCATAACCTTTATCTTTACTTCTGATATGGTTCATAGTTCTATACTTGTATGTAATAAGTTCTAAAAACACAAAGAAAAGGAACCTACCTACAGTACAAAAATGAGAATTAAAAGAAAAGTCGATATAATGCTTAAAGATGCAGAAGCAACATTACATAGATTGTTTCATTTTTAAAGCCTACATCTTTACTATTCTCAATGTCAAACAATATCTTCTTTATTTGCTTATTTTCTATAATCATTTGTTGCAATAATGTAATTGAGTCAAGTTTGGTTTTATAGAAGTTTTGGTTTAGTTTTTAAATATTTAAATTTTAGTTTAAAATTTTACTCCGATATTTAAATGAATTCAGTTAAACATAGCTTCAATCAAACACTGTCAATTGAAAAGCAAACTTTAATTAGGGTTGGAGTGAGTAATGAATAAGATGTTAATAATAAAATCTGCACCAAAATCAAAATCAGCCCGTTTTATAGATTAAGTATAAGTGCTCGCATACCCACATTGTTTAACAAAGAAATGGAGAAGGTGAGAGTCATCTGTGATCACATAGTAGGCAGCAAATCAAATGGTTTTGCTTTAGGAATCAACTTGCATTCCCATATTTTATACTCCGTAATATTTAAAATAAACATTGATGAAACCAATGGGGCTTAATGTACATATTCATGTTTACCCAGAAGCACCCAACATTGAAAATGTTCAATAGGCACCATCCCCAATATGCCGAAATGATGCCACATTTCAAGAGCAAAAGATCATCAATTGAGGTATTCAACAAATTGGAATTTCAAGGGGAACAAAGAATTACAATTACCCCTGTTCTACTCCTCCGAGCTGCAGTCGAAGTAAAATCAACTACAATCCCAAGCACCAATACGAGCATAGAAACCTCAACATTCACACATTTTCATCATTTCGTCCAGTAACACACAATCGATTGAATGAACAAGTACATAATTTGAAAACTAAACACAGTCGACGGAACTAGTTCTGATTCCGTACCGTATTAGACGTTCCCGCTCGAGGCCGCTCAAATGCAGCGAGCGAGGCCGACATTTCCATGAATCAAACGAAAGTGAAGTCCATTTCAGCTGGCGATCAGTGGGCTGAGCTATGGCGGAGATCTGGAGGGAGAGAACTAGGGTTTGGCGATGAACGGATAGGAAGAGGAGAGGCGGCTCCTGCAAACAAAAACCAGCAGAGCTTTATTTCCCCGGTCTGTCCTTTTCTTCGCTTGTGAGAGAGAGAAGAAGAAGAAGAAAGAAGAAGAAGAAGCAAATAAAGGAATGTACTTTTACCAGTTTTACCGTATGTCTTTGGTATGAGGCAAGTTAATTTTGAATTTGAGCGTATAAATTTTTATAAAAGAAAAATTATACAAAATTCAGAAAAGAAAAATTATTTTAAACGGAGTATAATTTTAACTGCAATTTATCATAAATAATCTCACCTTACACCATGATTGTCAATAAGCGAATCTTTACTACGGAGTATAGTGTTACTCCCTCCGTCCCCCTGTATTTGTCCACTTTTATTTTTACACACCATCCAATGCACTTCTTTAATCCATTTTATCTTGTAATTTGTATATTAAAAAATTATAAAAATTATATATTAATAATCTATATGTTAAGACAAACCAAACAAGATCACACATGACTATATTTAGGCTTATACATTGAGAGAATTTGATGAATCAAAGTGCTTAGATGAACAGTTCCAAAAGTCAAATGTGGACAAATACAGGGGGACGGAGGGAGTATTATTTACGTATTTGTGAGTTTTGACTCGTTGTTAACCTTCTAATGAACGATTACCGACTCAACTTATTTTTTACAAATATTTAAAAAATAAAATCATTAGATTTATTTTTTCTAAATATACTTGTATATTTTTTATTTTACCCAACATCGTCAATAGCAACAAAAAAATACTTTAAAGCGAAATATCGTAATTAATAAGTGAATGTCAAATGTGTTTGAGACATCCAAAGAAGAGAATGTAATTTTTTTTAGATATGTAAACTTCTATTTGAGAGAACTATAGTCCTAAAATGAAGTTTGTGTTAATAATTTACATGGTCCAATCATATCTTTTTATTTTTTTGATTGCTCATTTGGTAAAATAGTACTCCGTAGTATTGTTATTCTTTGTTTTATAGAATTTTGATGTGATATAAAATAGGGTCGGTTCCTTTAAAACTGGACCTTGGCGAAAAAATAAGAATGGTACATTTCTGTTCATAGTACATTTTACAAAATAATAAGTTCATTATAGTGCATTTTACAAAGCAAGTAATACATAAATTTGATTTAACTACAAAACTTGTTAGCCTTGGTTTGATAAGTCTCATGTTTTGATGTTAACAAACAATATAAGAGCTTAACGTTTGTTTAAGTGTTTCAGGAAAACAAGAATCCATTAAGATTCGGTACTCAAGAATGAAGTCGAAACACTAAAACTAGCGTAGAATATAGGTAGAAACCAATGTAAGAATATGACTTTATATACCTATATTCACAAGCTCAAAAGCACTCACAAAATATGTTTAAAACCATCACATAAACACTTTCAAAATATCTAAAAGGTTTTAAACTCAAACACGAAGGATTAAGGGAATTTTGGAAAAATCATAACAGAGTCACGGTACCTCTAGCGGTACGCCACACGGTAGGGTATACCGCCTACACGGTACCCCCATACCGTGTAACGGTACCTAGGTACCGACGGTAGGCGTAGACGGTTGGCCGAACCCGTCCTAACCAGGTACCACCAGAAGCGAACCGAACTTTTGGAAGACACGGTACCCCCAAACGGTAGGCTATACCGTGTCACGGTACCTAGGTACCGGATGACACGGACCCCCTACCGTGAAGGGTACCGAATCTGTTACAGCACTGTAGCAAAATTGCCAATTTAATTTAAATCAACCCTAATCACCTCCCAACGGCTAATTAACATCTTCCACTATAAATACAAGCCTAATCCTTCATATTTCTTCAAGAAACAAAGCTCTAAACATCCTCTCTTTTTATTCTAAGTGTGTTCATCCTTTTATTAATTATTTTCAACATTTTGGCTATTTCAAGAGCCTTAAATTCCTGAATTTTATACACACACTTTGAGCTTGTGTTTCTAGTTATATACTCTCATATTCATAAGTTTATATTGTATTTTTGAGAGAGTATAATTTCCTTCTACACCGGCTAAGTTTTGTTCTTCATTTTTATGTTCTAGCCGTTGTGTAGAATCCTCTTTTGTGTTCTTCAAACACACCTTCTTACGGTCGAGAATAGCCGTTAAATTCTCATATTGTATCGGTCGAGGATAGCCGTATAAATCCTTGGGTAAATGTTCAAGGATAGCCTTTGAAATCCTTGGGGGAACGGTAGAAGATAGCCGTTAAATCTTCGTTGTAAACGGTTCGAGATAGCCGTGGTGAAATCTCGGAGTGAATCCTATTGGCAAGGGTTGTTTGCCAAACTAGTGCGGTGCTTTGACGGAGTTCAAGAGACCGAGACTTAGTAGATTCGGAAATCCTTGAGGAGGAGCCTTGAGGTACTGGAGTAGGGAGTTCCCGAACCAGTACAAAATTGGTGTGCATTTTATTTACGCTTTTATTTCTGCGTTTTATATATTGCTTCCGCATTTGCCAACACCATTTTTACTTAACTCCGAAAAGTTTTTAAACGCCTTATTCACCCCCCTCTAAGGCGTGGGCACAACGACTAAACCGACTAACAAAACTATCACTGTATTTTTTCTAACTTTTTCTAATTTTCAATATTTTATGACCCAGATCTCACATTCTTAAGATCTTACATTAATTATCAAATAAATTAATTATATAATAATTCCCATAACCTCTAATGAAAAGGCCTAGCCTATTTCTATCTCGGCACAAGTTAAGGTGAGGTATTTTTAGTTGGCAAAGAACAATTTTATTCGTTGCTATTTGTAATTGTTACTTGTTTTTACTTCTACTTCCTTTGGGAAGCTACTACTCTTTTTACAAAGAAACCATGAGAAATGATACCAAAAATATGCTGAGTTTCTAAAAAAAATACTGGTATTATTTTTTAAAGATGAATTTAAAGTTTCATCATATAAATCTTTTAATTTAAATTTATTTGTCTTTCAACAATATTAGCGATGTTTATACTCTATCTCTTGGATAATTTAGATGATTCATCATAATTTCTGCATCGATCATATTATTAGAAGTGAATAACTAATCATAAAAAATAAAAAAATATTTAATTCGGGATTGGAAGGAATACTTCATACTCTGGCAATAAGATGTTTGACACATTATGAGTTAAATGTAACATTTTGAAAATCAGGTAGAATCGAATATACCTTTACTTGGGAACCATTTATTGAATAGGTCACGATTTGGTCTAGCTATCACTCATGAACCGTTTCAAGTTAACTTTGAACTAACTTCAACCTAAATGGACCGGCTAATTTTCACCAAAAATCAATGAAGTGGTTCGATCTTGATTTTTATTTGTTTATTATAAATTTAAGGTTTTCAGTGTGATTCAAACTCTAAAACTCTTTGACAATATAATGTTTAACACTTCAACCAACTAAACTAAAATATTTCTTGTAAATATTATGAAAAGATCCCCTCATCCCAAAAATTGTATAGTAGTGTAGTACTCCCCTGTCCCGTTTTAAATCGTCTGTTTTCACTTTGGGGCATATTTAAGGAAGAGAAAAAAATAGAGTTGACTTTCTGAAATTTTCATTACTTTTTAGGGGGTGATGATGAATGAAAAGATAAGGTGGAAAAGAATGACTTATTTTAAGGGTAGTTTAGATATTTCACTCTTAAAAGTTTACAATAACAGTACAAAAAAGGAAAACAAACAATTGAAAATGGAACAAAAGGAGTAACAAATATTATGAAAAAAATTGAATATAAAAATACCAAACTTATCTTAATCTAAACCTAATATTTGAGGCTTTCTAGTTAATTACATACTACGTGTACTTTTGATTATGAGCTAATCTAATTTCGCTGATTTTATATTAATCTTTCTAGTCTAGTCTGATCTGATGTCATTTAGTTAAAGTTATATGTAATATATATTATCTGAATCTTTCTAATATAATATGAATTTTTCTAATACTCTAATTTCAATAACTATAAGAGTCTATTTGCTACAAGAAATTAACAGAACTAGAATTGATTTGGGAGTTGAAATTCTATAAAATTGAATATTATCGACTCTATTACAATACATTTTTTTCCTGAGCATTACAAGGTGGTGTGAAAGATCGGGCAAGAGTTAGAATCCCCTAGCATGATCCTCATTTAAAAAGTGGTCAATTAAGACCCTACATCCTAAAGGGGTATTATTGTAACATCATTGTTAGTTGAAAAAATAAACATACTTCCACATGAAGAAACTGAATTGTACCAAATTAGCAACGAAGGACCACAACAAGAATCATTACCAATTGATGGGCTATAGAAAATCAATTCTCCTGTAAAATTGTCATCAATGCTCCATATCTATCTACCATAAATGCTTGCATCAAGAATCACTTGATGGGAACATGACCATGATAATGGAAGATCATAGGGGATGTGAGAGATATAGCGAAGATCACGTTTTGTCTCCTAACCCTAGCGCCTACCTCCACGGTCACATAGCATACTTTTAACCTCACTTTCGAGTCGGGTTAGTCGGGCCCATCTCATGTGGGCTTCTAGTGTTAGTTATACGATGAAATGGGTATATTAGGTCTCACACACTATACATATTTGGGTAGGTCCTAATATACCCATCGGTTTTCTAGGTTCCCGGGACATTCAAATACTAGACAACATAGGAATGAATGGGAGGCGAAATGAGCAAAAAATGGCAGTCTTTCAACTTAAAGAAATGAAAGTTATTCAGTCACACCCTGTTTTGCAGTTCATCTCTAGACCCCTTCCATAAGCAGCAATAAGTAAAGCCTCAGCTCGGCCTGGAAAGTTTCAGAGCTGGAGTTAGTATATGCTTATAGATAAAAACTTCTTCTCTTTTTTTTTAAACCTTTTCCTAGCATTACCCTGATATACTAATCCAGTTAGGGGCTATCTGGAACCAGGGAAAATACTAGGGAAAGAAATTAGAAAGAAAAATCGAGATGAAAAAGGTAAGGAAAGTTGGGGTGAATAAAGGGTAAACAAGCTCAATTAATGTATTTTTATTATTTACATGGACCATGCTAGGGCACCCCCCCCCCCCCCCNCACCCATCAATGTTCCCACCACCGTTCAATATCTGTGGATGCCTATGAGAAGGTTTGGGCGAAAGGTGGAGTGAGAGTTGAGATGACTTTAGCATTTTCTTAAAGAAATAATCAGATTTAATCATTTTCCCAAGGTAACGCCAAACACAAGAACAAACTTAACATATATTTTTTACCCATTTCCCTAGCATTTTCAGTGATCCAATCATACCTTTTACTTACCATGCAGGTGTCGCAAGAAAACATCAAATTTAAACGGGGAACATGTTCTTTGTCTTCAATTACAGTCTAATAGACATTGATTAGATCTCTTGCTTGTAATGATTAGACATTGAACACAGTAAAAATAAGAAAGAAACATAGCGATTAACAAAGAACTGTGTGGTTCATACTGCAATATGAGAGCAACATCCCAGTATAATCCCAACTTCGTTGGGATTTGAGGGTCAAGATGTACACAATCTTACCACTGTAAAAATAGAGAGGCTGTAATATGATAGATGTGTGAATTTGAAGAAAGGTAAGTGCACGAACCGTGATCTTTCTTCCTTTTTAAGTGTAAACTCATAGATGGAAATAATTTGCACGCCATCTCTCGACTATAATCCTGACAATTTACACTTTTTACATATTACAAAGGATGTAGCAGTAGCAAGCAGAACTTGGAGAACATATTCCTCCTTTTCCCCAACAAACCAAATACTGAAACAGAAAAAAGAAAAAAAGGGAAACGAGAACGTGGAAGTGAATTTGAAGAGGCTGCACAATTTGAAGTGACATACAATATAGGGAGTGCTTTTGAACACTTATCAAAAAGCAGCTAGCATACGCAAAAGCATTACGCAGGTGGGTACTTGCATTTGGCTTACGAGATTTAAGTGCTTAAAATAAGTAATAAGCAGAAGCAAATCAAGAAATAAACAATAAGCAAAAAAATAAGTTTATTTACAAAACACCAAAACTGTATAAGCTGCTTAAAATAAGCAATACGCAATAAAAAAAATTGTGTTTTCTAAAACACTCCCATAGTCCCATAATTGTTATTCCCTCCAACCCAAATCATTTGAAATTTTTAGCAAAAAAGTCCTAAATTCATTTTTGTTTTAGACACGCACGCACACAAAAAGTCCTGGTCAAGTTGTTTTTACTTTTCATGATCAGACGTGGAGGAAGACTAACATGTTCTATAAACCTGGTCGTGAGTTGTAATGTGCTTGTAATTGCATCAACGATCTCATACGAAACCGAAGATGTGCTATCGTCACTACTCAAAGATGATGAATAATACTCCATAATTTTAAATTTTTGAAAGTGTATAGTTGAAAATTTGGGTGTGGTGTGAGTATGAGAAGTGTGGATTGTGTAGGTTAAATGGTTTACATATAGGAAAGAATTTTTTTCATTGAATACATTTTAAAAAATGAAATACAAGAACATGATCTATAGTAAAAAAACGGCTACATTATTAATGACTTTTGCATGTTTTTTTGGTGAAGTACTCCGTGAATGAAAACATGCCTTGAAAATTTTGACCACATTAACGCTCAACTGGGCAGTGCTTTAAGGCATCATCCAACAAAGAAATGAGGAAAACACGCCCAGTACGCATGGTCTTAGGGGCATTGCTCTTTTAGAATGTAAGAAAAGAAAAAAACAAACCAAACCAAAACTCGAATGAGTAGTCAACATGAAGACATCGCAGGCTAAAGCTAAAACTTTACATCTCTCTTCGTCCCTATTTACCTTCCCTTTTTGTTTTTGGGTAGTCCCTAAAATTTAAATAAATCTCAACCACAATTTATTTTATTAAACTCCGTGTAAAAATGAGAACATTAAAAATCAATCATACCTTATTTAGGTGACCTCCTGGCAGCTTAAAATCTCTTTTCCACAATGATGATGGAACAGGAACAACAGTAAATCCCAAAGCTACTAAGATTCCAATCCACAATCCATACCCGAATCCTCCACCCCACCAACCCTTCATGCAGGAAAAAAAAGTAAAAAAAATGAGGAGGAAGAAGAATACAATACGTTGGAGAATGAGGAATTCCAGACAGTGAACAACTCAACATAGATTAGATCTCCGTTATAGGGGTTTGAATAAATGCTCATTGCTGAGATGAGAGTGCTAACCTGTTTACCGTCTTGTGGGTATGGAGATGATTGCTCAATAAATGCAGTAGTTCCTGAAAGCAAAATGAAAACCTGTCAAAAAGCATCTTCATATAGGATGCAGTGCTTCTTCGAATCTTACCGAGAATATAACCTTAGAATCTTAGGTAGGAGTGTCTCAAGAACTATGATTAGAATAGTTGGCTACACTTCTGGGCATTAGCTTGTAGTTTTTACTGCTGTGTTTTTCACCTTAGTCCGTAGCTTGTGCAGGTGTGGTCTAGTTGGTAGTATTAAGTATGGGTGCTTCTTGAGTATGTGCGCTCACCTTGTTCGTGCTACTGTATTTACATTACTTTAATTTATCTATGTTTTTTATGCGGAGAGTCTCTTACAAACAGCCTCTCTACATCCAAATAGCCAAATAGGGGTAAGGTATGCGTACGCACACTCTTCAAACCCAACTTTTGTGTGATTCTATTGGACTTGTTTTGTTATTGTCGTAGTTGGCTAGGGCACATTATAATGTGAATAACAAGTACGTATGAAATGCCAAACTATAACACAAAACAAACAGAAAACTGCACTTCGGTGATGAGTCACTATGTAAATTACCAACGGGAACTTCAGAACTTCGAAGCAAGTTAACAATGGACTTTGCATCTAAACGACTCCGTAATCCTTTCCCAACCATTACTTTCAGGTGAGGAGAATCAAATACCTGCAATGAATAAAAAAGATACTTGCACTTGCAGTATATGATGCCTTATAGTTCTTAAATACATAAATACTGCTAGAATGCGTAAATGGAGAAAACTCACAAACAAGTCCTTTTAAATTATAAATGGGTTTCAATACATTCTTAGTTTTGACAAATATACACTTCTATCGTCCTCAGATAGACTTTCCTATTGTGGGTTATGCTTAACTAGAGTTATTTTCAGTTCAATTTATTTGAAAATGGGAGAAAGACCAAAGTAGGACTAAGACATTACAAATATACCAAAATAGGACTTCCATGTTTTTATTCCGAAATAGGACTTAAAATGCATTTACATTACCAAACATAGTCATGTACATTACCAAAAAGTATATGTAATGTGCACGTGTACAGTGCCACATTACTACAGTGTGAAATCCTATTTCGAGAAAAAACATACAAGTCTTATTTTGGTACTTTTCTCTATGTTTAGTCCTATTTAGAGCGATTTCTATATGAAAATTTGGGTAAAACTAAAAAAAATTATATATTTTAAAACTACATCAAACAAGACTATATTATTTTATTAAAAGATATAGGCAAAGAAAGTGAACAAAGATTGAACATGTGAACAACGAACAATAAATTCTAACAAAAATCTAAACGTACATTCATCACTTATCAAATTCCTTCGAAAAAAGGAATAAAATAAATACTTCACTTTTCCAACACTTTACTTGGGAAGGAGACTATGAGAGAGTATAATTTCTACTCCGTGTTTATCAGGACAAAAATAGAAATGAGGATTACTTGAGGAGATTGATCAGGTTTCAGTATGGCTAGGGCTCCAGAAACATCCGGGTCAACTCCAATTACCCACTCAGTGGAAGGCTTTGCGGGAGGAAAGGGGCAAGATAGAGCGTCCAGCCAGTTCTCCCTGAGCTCAGCTCTCTGAATTTCCTTGATGCCCCTAACCCTAGCTCGTCCATCAGCTTTCCCCGAATCTCGAAGGCCAGTAATCACGGACGGCGAGTCGAGCGTAAGAGGCGCAGCGACAGCTCCGTCGGCTGCAGAGGCCGAAAAGACCCGGAATGCGGCGGCGGAGGATGCAGCGAGGCGGAGCGGCGGCAGGATGAGGGTGGCGAAGCAGGCAGGAGGAGCGAATGCGAGCTTCGACAGATGGAAGGATTCCATGGAAGGGGAAAAAGCAGAAAGCTCCCAGCTTTTCAAATGGCTTCGCGTGCTTGGCTGTTTGTGGAGGGAAGGGCGTGGAGAGCGTTCGAGCTATGCCCAAAAAAATCACAGGCCTCTTTTTACCCGAAACCCGACCTGAAAATACTGGTTTTTGGACAAAGGTTTTGATGATCGAATCCGAAGTTGACCGAACCCAAAATGACCCGCTAAAAATAGGTCAAACCCGAACCCGACCTGATCGACCCGCTAAAGTAAAAACTTTTCAAAATCATACACTTTACTACTCATTTTTAGTATATAAATCTATATTTTCAGACAAAATTTTAATTATATTGCATAATTATCTTACTTTTTCCCAAACTTAACCATTTTTTAAATTCATTATATTGATTTATATATCTAAAAATTACTTCAGAATTTAAAATAAAATGATCTAATAGATTTAATACATTTTTTTATATTTTAAATTTATGTAATAAGAAGTGTAAGTGTTAATGTTAATTTAAAAATTTAAAAAACCAAAGTCATAACCCGTTGGATCGACCCGAACCCGATGACACTGGTCATGTACATACAAATCTCAACCCGAACCTGAACTAACCCGAATCTAAAATAACCCGAATTTCAAGTGATCGAACCCAAATCCGACCTGACCGACCGATTTGTCAGCTTTAGTTCGAGCCCAAACCGAGCCTTTTTGGCCTAAGTAGCTCACAAATATCATTTTTAAAAGTATTCTTTATATTCCCTAATATTTTAAAAATTTAAAATTATTTGTGTTTGAAATAAAAAATAACTAAATATTAAATTCATACTTACTTCATCTGCTAATTTAAATATGTGTAATTTACCTAAATAGAACATAATGACTTTTTCAAAATAGGACCATATATTTTTATTTTCCAATTTGGACTATTGGTCATTATCTATTAGTTATTATTCAATTAAATGTCCAGCATCACTTGGACATTATTCTTCTCACTAGTCCTATTCAAGGAATAAAAAATTTAAGTCATACATTAAGAAATGACTTATGTTTTAGTCTTATTCAGTGCAAATTTTACTTTAAATATTTTTGTTTTTTATTTCCAGATTAAGAAGAAAAATTGGGACGTTCAAGAAAACGAGAAATTAAAAAAAAAGAACAAAGAAAGTACAAAAGATACTACTTCGTATTAATGGAAAGGGAAAACTTGGTCTGTTGTTACACTTCTTTATAAAAACACCCAAAAATTTTAATTTTTTATAAGATTCTTTCAGGACGACTAGAAAAATAATTTTTTTTTATGGAAGCCAATAGATTCAAAAAATTGAAAACAAAAAATCCTCTTTTTATCTAGTAAAATTTTTAAAAAAACTATTTTTAGTCATCAGAAAATAATCCTCCGTAAAACCATTTGGGCGTCCTGAAAACTCAGAAAGTAATACTTGCGTACTCATACTTAATAATTATCGAGTCACCATTCAAAATGACACGTAATTAGCTTAGTTGGCAGTCTAAAGTATTGGTATAAAATTAAATAATTTCTAAGGGCAGTTGAGCAGGGATGTTAATTATTTAATTTCGGAGTATTATCGTAAAATCATAAACTTCTTGGAGTAGACACTTTGGAATTTTAAAACATAATATGAATAATTTTTTAAAAAGAAATCTTAAAAACATTATGAAAACGATACAAAAAGAAAAAAACTAAAAATAAAACATGGACCCAAAAAGCGGGGAAATGAGCTTTAGCGTCTTTTTTTTTTTTTGAAACAAAATAATTAAATTAGGAAATCAAAGGAATAAAGTTTGGGGGTGTGTCAAACCACTCCCCTACAACATCATCATTGCAACTACTACGCGCTAACAAATGCGCTGCCTCGTTTCCGGAGCGAGGAGTAAAACAAAAATTAAGGTCTCCTGCACAGAGCATTTGGAGACGCTTACAATCTTCAATGATAGAGTTAAAGTAAGACCAGTCCATGATAGTACTATTAAGTGAATCGACAACCTCCTTACAGTCTGTTTCCACAAGGACTTGTTTCCAGCCTTTACTTTTAATCCAACTAAGTGCTTCCTTAACTGCGATGGCTTCTGCTTCACGTGGACCAAAACTCCCTCTACATTTAATACTTATAGCAGCTACGAATCGGCCTTCATAATCTCGCACAATAAAACCCAGGCCTACATACCTATCAACAAGTCCTGATGAGGCATCCACGTTCACCTTTAAATAATTCACCGGTGGCCTCTCCCATCCCTTTGTTGCACCAGGTTCAGCTCTAAGATTAGTCGTTGTGGAATTCCTAGGGGTTGCCATCCTCCACCAGTCTTCATAGTCTCTGTAGGTCCGCGTCCAGACCTCCAAGGGAGAGCGTCTCACTCCCTTCCAAACCTTAGCATTACGTGCAGACCAAATCATCCATAAAAGATGGAACGCTAAGCCCTTATCGTAC